GGGGGGGTGCCTTATATTTCAGCAAGAGGCAAAACTGTAAGTAGGTCTTATTTTCGGGGGATGTCTTACTTTCGGGGAAACAGGGTATGTTGCCACTATCATTTCCCAAACATTTTCTACTTGAGCCCTTGGTCCTTAGCTTTTCTGAAATCCTCTTATCTGCCTTCCTAATCCGAGAGCTTGTGGTTTAGAACTTTGTAACATTGTAAAACTTTAACCACTTTGGAAAACAATGTGGGGTGGAGGTGGGTCAAGGGTGTGGTTTATGAAGAAATGGTTACCAGGATGGTCTTGGGAGGATGCTTGCTAGGCTAACTCCAAGAGTGAACCAATCCGCCTTGGAAGAAGTACAGCCCAGATGCCCCTTAGACGCCAGGCTTTGTCTCACATACTTTGGACATGTTATTCTGAGGGACCAGACCCGGGAGGACATCAAGCTTGGTGAAGCAGAGGACCCGCATCAAAGAGGAAGACCCTCAGCCATCTGGATTGCCCTCGTGGCTCTCACAACGGGAGGGAGAACGGAGACGCAGAAACCAGCGAGGAAAATCAGATCGCTTTGGAAAGCAGACGCTCAAAAAACAACGAGGAGCTTCCTGAGCTCACAGAGAGAAGAAACCCGTCCTCTAGAGCCGGCGCTCTCGATCCTAAACCGGGAGAAAGTGAAATTTCAGTTTGTGACGTCCCCCGCCCCCCCATGGTATTTATGTTACAGCAGCACTGAGATAACTAAGACGGTGTGGGATTCCCAACTTTCAAAGCTTGTGACTGGGAGGATGCCAAGGTGTGAATGGTTGGGCCTGCTCTGCTACTTGTGGTTTTTCATTTGCATCTCTCTCTGTGCCTGTTCAGGAAATAAATGCCAGCATCCAGGTGCCTAGTCACTCAGCTGTTTTGACTCGTGGCTTAAAGGGGGGTGGGGGGGGACTCTTCAGAGGTACATGGTAGCCTTTTCAATTCAGAAGACAAACGGTGGGCAATGTTGTACAATGACGTTGTTTCAACATTGTTTCGTGGACATGACTGTGGGAGGTCACTGAGTCCACCATACACAGCACTGCCTGTGCTGACCTAAATCTCCCGGCATATGGCAGCAGAGGAGTCGAGGGAGGCCAACACCCTAAGCTAGGCTCCCTCTCCCTCCAACGCCCACCGGTTCTTTTAGGAGGGAGAAAAGTAGGTTAGAAATCATCCGAATCGGAATGTTTTTTGTCTGGCATTTAAAATGTGGGACTGTGTTCCCTCCTTTCTCTGTTGTTTGTACACTCAGGCCCTCCACACATTTTGTCTCAGGCAAACTCAATGATGCCCAGTATCAAATAAGGAGATTTCATTCCAGGGCAATGGGGAGATTTAATGGAACAAGGTATCCAGATATTCGCCATTCAAAGAAAGCATTACTAGAGCCGAGAAAGACACTGGGGCATGTCTCTGGCACTCAAAGCCTGCAGGGCCGGTTACAATAAGACCGGATGAGCCCCTGTTCTGCATGCTGGAGAAATTCACAGCCTGGGTCCCCTGGGGTAGACTCCACCTGGTGGTGCTGGTGCGGGTGCCTGTGCTGGGAGGCCACCCCACTGCACTTTCTCACCCACTCAGCCCGCTGTCATAGAGCCCCTACTGTGTGCGCACCAGCTCATCAGACCCAGGGAGGAGGGTAAGCCAAAAACAAAGTCCAGTGCTTTCGTGCGATGCTGGAATTTTTACTGCCCCTTCTGTTTCTAATCAAGCTATTTCATAGCTTTGTGTTCCTTGCCAAAAGCAAGGGCAACAGGACTTTGCCTCGGATCCTAATGCTTGGGCTGCTGCAAGAAAGAGAACTGATCCACTGTGCAGGCACCCTTCATTTCCTTACTTCTCCCCTCTCCCCTCCCCGACCCGCTCGGTGGTTTTTTTTGTTTTGTTTTTTTTCCTTTAAGCTCCAAAATCTCCCTCAGAAAAAACGCGGTATGATACATCGCTTGGTCTGCTCACCAAGAAGTTCATTCAGTTACTGAGCCAATCCCCCGATGGCGTGTTGGATCTGAACAAGGCGGCCGAGGTGCTCAAAGTGCAAAAGAGGAGGATTTACGACATCACCAACGTGCTGGAGGGCATCCATCTCATTAAGAAGAAATCGAAAAACAATGTCCAGTGGATGTGAGTATGCGCCCACGGCCGTGCCCATCCCCGTGGCCGGCGGGATGGCTCCCACTTCAGCATCAGGTTCTCGCACTTCCTGCTCCCTGCTGTATTCATGGGTACCCACTGTCTCTCCTCCCCTCCCCTCCTCTCCTCTGTCACTCTCTGTTTAATCTCTCAGCCGGAAGGCTGTGCCTCTTTTAAAGAGAGACCTTCTGCTGACCTACTGTTAAAGATGCAAAAGAGTTGACATTTGCCTCCAGCAAGGGGATCCTTGTGTGAAACGGGGCACGACTGTCAGCTGCCCTCATCTGCCCATAGCCTGTGTGTGTTCACGTGGGTGAGCAAACCTGCTCCCACACGTGCCTTGGGGCTTTCTCCAATAGGAACCTGGAAGTTAACTGAGGCCTCTGGGTTGTCTGTGTGTCGATGCATACACACAAGCCTATGTCTCGACCCGTGGTTACACGGCAGGTCGGTTAGTTTTTCTTAGCCTAAACTAAGACAAGGCTTAAATGCCCCCAGAGTCTTTCTTATAAAGCAGGTTGATCACACCTGGCACCTGTATACTCGCACGAATCATTAAATGTGTAATGTCAATTTGTGAATTATACGCCGAGCATCTAAGCAGCCAGTATTTTATTATCAGGGCCAGGACTGAACTCTGAGAGCATTATTGGGAAACGAACCCCTGTTGTGGGGTGATTTCCACAAAACAGCTCTTCAAACATGACCTTGTCAACAGGCAACTTAAAAATCTGTTGTGACCGTTCGGTAGCCCACTTGTGGCCTGTTGTCTTAGAAAAACCCATTAACTATCTGTTTTTATTCTGTGGCATGATACGCCTGTTTCCTGGGCCTCTGGTCTGGGTGTTGGTTTGTTTTCCGGCGGGTGGTACGGAACTCTCGGGAATGACTTCATCCTCTCACGTGTCTCTGCATGTTTCGCTGTTGTAGTTTAACCATTCCCTCTTTCAAAGGCACAGTTTCCTACCCCTTTCTCCGGTTCTGTTTGCTTGCATGCGTCCGGAGCGCACTGTTTGCCATCTGGCTCTGAGCCTTCTGAAGAAACCCTGCCCCGACCCCCCATCCCCCAGAAGAATGAACCTAGTAGTGTCTTGCAAGATGATACCGATGAGGGGAAAGTGTGAATACATGTTTTACTTTCCAACGCCAGCCTGAGACACAGTGTGACCGCCCGTAACGAGAGGGGACCTTTGCCCAGAGGGCCACTGCCCCCTCCTCCCTTGAGCAGCCAAGAAGAGCCTCTGTTTGCCTCCCTAGGGGCTGCAGTCTGGCTGAGGACGGGGGCCTGCTGGCCCAGTGCCAAGGCTTGTCGAAGGAAGTGACTGAGCTCAGTCAGGAAGAGCAGAAACTGGACGAGCTGATCCAGAGCTGCACGCTGGACCTCAGACTCCTAACCGAGGAGCCAGAGAATCAGAGATATCCTTTGCAACACCTGGTGGCGGGGCATGAGTGCCTCGTAGCCCTCTCGAGCGCGACTGACACTCACCTGAGACCTAGGGCAGAGTGTGACTCTGGCCTCGTGCAAACGAGAGCGTGTGTGTAAGCCACAGCGTGTGTCGCCTAAGAAGCCAGCGTTCACACAATCGTCATTGCACTGGCTCCTGTCATATGGATTTTGATAGCTGGGTTGGAAGCGTGTTTGAAAGCATCTGAGCCATGTGGGGTTGGGACATGTGGATACACTCAGAGCGTAAGGCCCTAATAGTATAAGCCTAAGGTGTCAGTATTAATATTCATGACAGCACTTAGCAGATTCATCTTTGGCTTCCCAGATGTCTGGGGGGCGTCAGCTGTTGCCGTTGAGGTCCCCACATTCTGTCTTTTCATCAGATACTGGGTAGCCGTTGGAACATGATTGGACCACCATCCGCGGGGTGGACACGAGTCTCCGAAAAGCATGCTACTGCTTTCAAAGTGCTGTAGACAGATCCCAACACACCAAGCACTGACCTCAGGAGCCCCCC